GTTCCATCGTTCCGGCTACTTTCAACATCACTTCGATCACCCTCCTACCCAGCGCCCCAAGTACACATTCCTCGATCCGAAAAGAAAAGCAAGTTGGAATGTGCTTAGTTAGTACAAGAGCAACAGCACGCATCACGGCAAACTGTCTTTTTCAGTGTCTCGGCTTCCTGCAAAGGTAGCAACTTCATCATGTTCGCTCCTCCGAGCGCTTAATTCGAGGCTGATGGACGTCTTGCGCAAAGTGTTCCATCATTTATACCAATTCTTCCATCTTCTTCACGCTACTATAGTGTTTCTCGTTCAGCGCAGCGAGTAGTGCGTCCCCAGCTCTCGAGTAAACTGCGCTAACTCCTCCAGCCGCATTCCCCGAGTTGTATTCTAAATCCGGACGCGTTCCGCGGTTGGCCTTTGGAGACCCAGTCATGAATTGATCCACCAGTAATTGCTGTTTTGACGACTCGTCCATTCCCGGTGAGGTCCGACTGAACAGGTCCCTGATGTGGATTGCAAACAGAACGGATCCGCCCATATACCAAGCCTTGCCGTATGAACTTGACGGAGTCTCTTCTTGTTGTCTCCATGAATGTCTTCGTTCTGCTCTTGAGGGGACTCCGCAGGGTCACAAGATTTTAAACGTCCGTCTTGACTCCAACTGCCTGTGCCACATCCTCGAAGTCGCCGAAGAGGATCTTCACTGACATCCACTTCTTCAAACAGCTCCAGCCAGGGTATCTACAAGACGAACCCTGATTGATCACACTACTTTTCACACTCAAGGTGCAAGCAGAATTATTTATTGCCTCAAACATAGTGTTGCGGGCCCGTCAAATATCCCCGCAAAAACGCGCCAGAAGCTCCGGCATAATGGCTGTGGAAAGCGAGACCCAATTCCTCCACACAACGTAGCAGCGTACAGCCACTCCGAGACGCGGCCCAACTGCGCACCTTTTGACAATGATCTTTCGCAAACTACCACCTCGTCGTGGTAGCTATTTTCCCTAACTTATTGACCCATAGAATTGACTGTAACTCGCCCTTTGTTGGTCGTAAAGAGCCTTCAGAGGACAACTTGCCTTTTCTTCCTCTTCGCCTTAGTTGGGAGTCGGTCGGTACTATAACTGTAGTGAAGTTGTTAGATGTAGACAGAGAGTATCATTTTCTTGTACGTGTCAAGGAAATATTGAAATATGACTAGTCGACTTGCCAGTATGTAGTTGTGAGCAGTGATTTTATTCGGTGGCGTTTCACATCCGCCACGTCGCAGTGTTGTTAAGCGGACTCTTGTGGCTCTTTATAGGGAGAACGCTTGCCAGGCGAAAACACCACATCCTGGAACACTACGTTTTGCTTCCGCAGTACTACAATGTGATTCTATCGTGCGAAACGAGGTTGGTATGTAATTGATATTGGGACATGTTGCATGGTTGCTGTTAAAATTTAGGATCTGATTTGTGTGCATGTCACCTATGAGATGATGTTCGCAGTTCCCTGTCTGCTGTTCTAGTTACCAGTACGTCCAAGAAGAAGATAATTTCTCGATGCATGATTTCCTACGGAGAACTCGATAAACCTACGCGTTGACTTAAACCCGAACTACTATCAACTGCGACAAAAAAAGATTTTAAAGCCGGTCATTCATCACATGAGTCTGAAAGAGGCGGCGATCGAACTGCTAACTAGCAATGGTCACGGGACGTCAATCGAAATGGCCAAGTTCAAACATTACTCTCTTCTCGGTCAGTTTTGCTTAGTACGTAATGACGAAGCCCCCTCGATTGGTGGTGTACCGTCTGCCACAAAATAGTTCAGCTCGGAGAACGGACCTAAACCTCAACAGATAACCCCAGCTATTTATATATATATATATATATATATATATATATATATATATATATATATATATATATATGTCTGTGTGCCACAACACGTAAGTAACAATAATAACAAGGAAGTACAGTAAGAGGAAGGAATGCAAAGTTTCATGTGTTGTGTGGGCAGTGAGCTTTCCGGTTGCCCAGGCCGAGGAAGAGAGTTGACTTAAGGAGCCCCACCCGAGCGTTTGGTCTTAAAGATCTGACGCGCAAGGCAGCGGGGCGAATACGAAGACCGTTGACAGTCAGGAAGCTCATTCGCCTTTTTTGTGTTTGGTTGCTATCCAGAGAGAAGCCGGAGGCCAGCAAAGTTGTTCGTACTCCCTCTATTAGATACTCACGTCCATTTACAGAATTGGTTGGTCAGTGACCCTATGGCCGGTCACATTGTCTTTGACACAGCGCCGTACCAGCACTTGTGGTAATTAATGGAGAACCAGGTGACCAGCCCAGAACACCCTACACTCTGAGACGCTGCTGCTGATTGTCCGCGACTTCTTGCCCATCTCGCCTGTAAAGCAGACTAGACTTATTCGAAGTTACCTCCACAAGGAAGGCATTCCCCGATCCGCAACCTGGGGATGCTCCAGATAGTGTACAGCTTCGCCACGGGGCGTGCAGCTTGGCCACGGAACAAGCTGGTTTCCTTCTTGGCCGCGGATACGTGGATCAAATCTTCACGCTCCGCCAGCTCCTCGAACATCGCCACATTTATCACAGGCCCAATATAGTTGCATTCCTAGACATACGTGCCGCTTTCGTCTCTGTAGACCAACCTGCTTTATGGCGTTGCTTACTAAAGAACGGGGTGCCAGAGAAATATACCGCCATCTTACGAGCACTTTACCTTCATACATGCGGCAGAGGATTTATGGCAAGCTTTCTTCGTAATTCGCTATCGATAGCGGTGTGCGATAGGGCTGTCCTATGTCCCCATTCCTCTTCAACTTCGCAATCGAAGACGTTCTGTCGAATGCCCTATAATGTTTCCAACATTTTGGCTTAGAGCATCTACCGGGTGAGCGCGACTGACTTAGATTATGCTGATGATATCGCCTTACTTGGTAACCATCCTCAGAGTATGCGACTCATTCTGGATCGTTTGGCGGTTGAAGCATCTAAGTATGGCATGAGCTTCGCCCCATCGAAGTGTAAAGTACTGCTCAAGGATTGGCTTTCACCTGCTCCGTGCTCACTCTCGAAGATGCACAACTTGAACAGGTAGATATACTTGCGTCTAGCCTGGAAGCTGTGTTTCTGCTAACGGCACTATCAACAAAGCAGTTTCTCTTCGTATAGCTAAAGCTCGATCGGCATTTGTCAATTTGAGGCACTTGTGGCGTCGTCGCGACGTCTCATTCTCACTAAAGGGCCAGGTTTACAGCGCATCAGTTCGCTCAGTATTGTTGTATGGGAGCGAGTCCTGGCCGCTTCGCGTGTAAGACATACGTCGTCTTTCTGCCTTCGATAACGGTTGCTTAAGGAGGATCGCTTTTGTTTGGTGGCAACATCGAGTTAATAGTAATGACGTTTGACCTCGCATCTTGCAGAATGCAAGTATTTCCTTCAATAAACTGGTTTTGTTGCGCAAGTTAAGATGGCTCGGTCACGTCCTACGCATGGCACCTGAGCGTCTACTGCGTCGCGCTCTATTCGCTCGTCAAGGAACTGGCTGGAGGCTACCGCGTAGTGGTCAGCTTTCCACTTGGCGGCTGCACATGAAATCGCTGATGTTGTGTGTAGCCGCTGTTGGATCCGTACGTCTTCCAGAATGGGGACCCAAGGATGGAGTGCCAATGGCTTAGCACTCTTGAAGATATGGCTCGCAACCGGAATCAATGGAAGAATTGTGTACAGTATTGTATTGTTTCAAATGTTGAATACTACAAATATTAAAAAAGACAAAAAGGAGCAAAATCGGCGTGTGAAAAACAAACTAAAAATGTTTTGTTCTAGTTTTGTCAAAATGTTCCATTCTTCCTTGTGGCACATTAGCTGAAGTGTGTTGCTCACCTTCAACTAGCATGCCACGATGATTATGACGCGATGACTCTTGCTTATCCGCTGATTTCCATGGTTTTATGTTGGCTCTGTGTCTGGTTGATAGACGGTTGAGATTACTACTACTACCACTACTGCTACTACTACTACTACTACTACTACTACTACTACTACTACTACTTCGCCACAGGGCGTACAGCTCCGACACGGGAGAGTTACAGGTATTCCGCTATAACGGTGAAATTCATTTCCCACATACCCCACGTCCAGTATACCTACCCCACATACTACCCCATTTGATGCGAGCCCATTTGCAACCCTACCTTCCATGAGAACAGGTAATGTAATCGCTTGATCACAGGTATTATGTAGTTGTTCTCATGGCTACTGGAACGTCGAATGCCGTCTCCATAATTGGAAAACGCACAGCCACCTTTTCCGGTTACTTCAGATTGTTATTGATTCACGCTAATATTTGTAGAAACCTGTCTTGCTGCTCTACCTTCCCAGTTAACACGCGTGTTCTTTAAAGCCCATCTCTTCTGCTGCATGTTGCGTTATCATTTCTCCTCGTATTGCCATATTCAGTGAGATCTAGTCGTGTCGCTTGGTAACGATTACGGCCCATAGATTATAAAGGAAAGCAAACTGACTGTAGTCTGCTGTATCTGCATGGTTGGCAAAAATTAAACTATGAACAGCAGAAAATTTCCTACCGACCGTATGGAGGTTTCATGATGCCTAGTGGCCAAAGTGAGCAGCGCATTTGTCATCGTGCGAATAATCACAGCCTGCAGTCGTTGCGTAAATCAATCGAGACAGCTATACCGTGCCTCTTCGAGCAATTAGATGATCAGATGAGGTTCGAGAGGGTTGTCAATATAATCATCTGACCGCCAAGGAGCCCTCATGTCAAATACCTGATACAAGTGTTCAACACATGCTTTGTTTGCAAACACAAAGTGTGATAGATTCGTTTCGAATTAACGCAATGTCCTCTGCAATTCATGGTGGATAGATTGCCACCGAAATACTCCACTTGTTCCCAAACCAACAGAAGGAAAAAACCGCTGTGCTTTAGAACATGTGCTTTATTTGGAAATTTTGCTCGATTTGTTTCTTGTTGCATTATTTTTGTAGTTGAAAACTCACAAAATTGCTACGATATAGAAGGAACTGTGTGGTTCAGTTTTGCGTAATTAGGAGGATACCCTAGATCCGCATAGCCCAACGCACGTAACAACGTGCTTTGGTTGACCACCGAATTTAGGAACTCCATGCTCAACACTGAATCAGGTTTGGCCCATCTGGCAATTGAATCAGTGTGGATCTTCTTGACGAGCTGTTTGGTGCTTGGTTCATATCTATTATGAGAGATGAAGACGACGTACTCAATAAGGCATTGTTCCAATCACGACCAAGTAAGCTGATAACTAAATTTGTGTAACGATGCTGGTAGGGGTAATAGATCACATTAAAACGACAAGTTAGCGAACAAGCTCGTTTCCGGTGGCTCTCGTCAGGCTAAAACGCCACAACTAATAGGAATACTGTTAACATCAAACAGCAGATAATGGTAGAGTTCAAACTTCAAGGTCATTGGAAAACAGATCAGAAGTGATCGATGGACTGTCGACGGCATGTCCCTCAACGAGTCGTTGTGATAGAGGGCCAGGGCAAACACAGAATTTGAACGAATCGTTTTTGAGCACATAAGTCTGGGTTCTGGTGGCGGATAGCAATTGCCTCAGCTGCTGCTAGTAAGCGACATTTTACCGCACGTGAAAGACTTCCAGGTACACGGTAAATGGGTTGGAAAGATTGGCGGATGTCGATTTGGTGATTCGAATCAACCAAGTGTGCCAACACGGCGCTCATCACAGTTTTTCTCCCACCATTGCGTAGGTTAGCTGGACAATGCTCGCGTATTCTCTCAGACAGCCTCCTAGTAGTTCTTCCGATGTATCTTGCTCGACATGAACAAGAGAAGGAATATACCCAGTAAGAAGTACATGACCAGAACTCTGTCTTTGAGTTGAGGTCTCACGATTGGTGTTGAAGTAAAACTTAGCCGCAAGCTCGCTGCGTAGTACGTATGGCTCATAACGTCGGATAATCTTCTAGATGTTGCCTGCGCTATACCATCCCCCTTGAACGGCAACGACAAATAAGGAGCTAAATGGTTGAACTTACGGATTCAAATTCGTCAGTTGTGACAGCATGGTTTCATGCCTCAACACGGCAGCGTCCCATGGGATTTGAAGAAATTCTGTGTAATCGAAAAATATGTAGTTCTTAGTACAGGCGCAGACGTTGCGAGTTATTTATCTGATCGAGAATATTGTCACATACTCACACCTGGGTTAATAGACCCATCGGGATGGGAATAACCACAAAGGTTACAAATCACCATCAACTAACTTGCAGGCGATTCACCCAGTGTCAAATTTCCGTATTACACAGAGCAGCAAAGACGAAAAGCTCTAATCATCAATCGACTTTGATACCATGTAGTGAATTGATTAAGCAACTGCATAGCAATGGCGTGTGTTTATGTCACATGTGAAGGAAGATTACAGTGAAGCTTAATTTCACTGTTTACTCAGTAACTTTGGTCGATCTTCCTTTCAAGTAAATCCCATGAAACTATGCTGCAAAAAGCCAAATGTCCAGCTTCCTGACACATGCACATATTTTCCATAAACCCATTGGAGGCCATCAAATTGAACAAAGGGAATCTTATTGAAGGATATACATGCAACGTTAGTTGAATCTGCATACTTTTGTGACATCAAGTAGCGCACTCACCGTTAACGATTTCAGATGGTTGCGAATGTAAATCGGCTTTCGTGTGTTTGTGATTGTCGCCACCTTTTCCTCTTGTTGCAAGCTCTTCACGCTAGACCCCAATAAAAATCATCCAAAACTGATTTGTATTTAACACCTTCTGAAATTTGGTTGCCAATATTTCCGTACTGTTTCTCTCACTCAAAGCCTTGTGTGCTGGAAGCACCTTATCTCACTTTCACATTACCCGCAGTAAGTGCACAGGACTCACTTCTAAAAAATTTGTGGATCAATTGTTCTACATAGTTACCGGTAATGATGGTGCTCCAGTGTACGTTGGCCAAACCACGAAATAGCCGCTACTGGGATCGACAATCACTAGAGACGTATGCCACGGCCGCCCAGAAAATCAGTCTGAAAACAGGACTGTAACGAGGGATTCGGCACTATTGGTGCATTCAGCAGACATAAATCATGAAATCGGCTTGGACATTCTCAAGATCATTCGGATAGGATTGCGGTCAAAATCAAAAAGGCGAATAGCCGAGGCTCTGGGAAGCGTCAGACGCCACAAATACAGAGCAAAAATTGAAGAGGTGGAGCTGTCAAATGCGTTCTGCTCTGGCTTCACCCGATCTGTTTTATAAACGTTGGTGGACCGCTCCGGGTTAGATAGTGAATGTAAAACCACTCCCTCCACCAACACCAACAAGGATTTATGCATAGCTATTTTGTAACGTAGACCTCCTGGGAACCTTCTGTTCTTGAGATATTGCCTACGATGACAGGGATTCTTCCTTACCAAATCTCATTTTCTGATTATTCTCTTCATTTGCTAAAAATGCCACGCCGAATACTTACAACTTCACTCGGGTTGACGAAGTTTCTTTCTGTAGTGTGCAGCTTGTCCAAGAGATATATCAACTGATTACATGAATATTGGTTGCCGCCCATGACTGATTCTGTAATCATATGCACGCAGCAGGTATAGATATCAGACGGAGATAGCAAAACTTTCACTCATGACTTGATGAGTGTAAATGAGAACGAAATCGATCTTAGAGTTTATTATAACGAGCTGACAACAATCAATATTTTTGTAACTCAAACGCTATTCCAGTGACCGAATCGAGCCAAGTTCACTTCAACGTAAAGCGTGGTAAAGATTGGGAATGCGTGTCTCAATCCATTCCCCCAAACTCGTGCTTCAAAGTGATTCCTCCAGACCGTTTTGAAGTTATGAGTTATAGATCAATTCCAAGTTAACTTCGTTATGATCTCGATGTGTTACGCGAGCCAATACATGCGTGTAATATGTTGGCCAAGTTCGCCATTACCTAAGCATAATTATGAGAATGCAGAAGTAATTATGTCGATCCGACTTCGTAGTAGTACCTTAAATCGTTAGATATTTTGAACAATAAACAATGATATATTACAGGTAAAAAAGCGATTGCTTTACAAGTCCCGTAGGATGGTTGAAGTGAAAGTAAACGTCAGTGTAAATCATAATTTAAGTGTCTAGATATTCGGGTGCTCCTTATTCATATAAACATTGTAGAATTTGTACTGAATTGTTACTGTAGAGAAAATATGGGAAGTAATATGTGGAAGGCATGTCTTAAGAACAAAAGAAACGACAACGCTTATTCGTGCGCCGTTTTCTTGGATTGAGGGAATTGATGAAGGCAGTTGTAATATATCCGAAACTATATTCCACAACAACAGTGTGTAAATAGTAAAGCACAAAAGCTGAGAATGAGCACCGTTTCTGTTTTGAGTTTGTTTGACGTACACATCTCTGATTATACAGCGTAATATAAGTGGCTAAGCGAATCATCCAGACGTCTTTTGAATACCGTTAGCGTGGGAGAATAAACAACGTATGTGGAAAGAGCGTTCCAGTGTTGGCACACACGAAGGGAAAAGAAATTCCGGTGGCATTCCAACCGGCTATATGGTGTGGCTAGCTTTAGGATGAATAGATTCCACCAAAATGACCTATAATCGATTAACAGCAACCGTACCAGATTTTTAGCATTCGCAAGAGGCAAAAAGCTACTGTTTATCTGGAATCGGTCGGGAGACCGGGTCACAATCAGGTATTACAGCACGATCTTGACGCGGTTTTGAAATGGTAGTTCCGAAAATCCTGCGTTCAATGTAGAAAAATATCCGTGTGTTCAACTACGCCTACGCAAGACTACATGTATAGACTTGGAGCACACAGCATACAGACCACTTTGTAGAAACGCGACCTTCGTGCGCTTATACAGAGTGATCTCACTTGTTGTGAACAACTTGAGGTAGCTTCAAGAAGAAGCAACCAGCATTTTGCCCTACTGCGAAGCGCGTGTGTGAGTTGTGACTTGCTACTCATCCAGCTTATGCACATCTTCAAACATGTACACCGCCAGTTGCTCAAAATTAACCAGAACACTAACTGCAGAGGTAATCGTAGGTAACTAAGTAAACAATACAGCCATTCAGAATGTCGATGGAATTGCATTTCTCTTCTTGTTGGAAATTTTTCCAAGGTTAGTCGTTACCTAAACCACTTTGGATTTCTTCAGAAAAAGACTGGATGCTATCCTTAGCTTCCGATACTTCGGTATCTGACCTGTGCTACTGTGCCGTCATACTAAATTCAGGTACTACATAGACCCAAGGAGGCGGTACACCAATGGGCCGTTTTCTTTTCCTCACAGAATATGGAGATCATATCCGCTCGCAATATTGTTTTGCGGGCTTATATCCAATTCCCATTTCACAATATCATCAGGAAGCAGCGCATTTGAATAGAAAAGACGATTACACATATGAATAACATATTGTATGCGTTTGTAGTTTTCTCCTCAACAATCATGCGGTGTTCTGAAGCCCCTGCTCTTTACCCGTGACAAATCACTATTCGCCTTGTACAGTATGTCTTGTTAGGGAACAGAATTTTGGTTACTCTCGGTTGCGGTGGACTATGTTTGGAAAGCTGTGCGTGGATTTCTGCGAGTGGTTCACAAAGTTCCGTAGAGCAGGAAGGAACTGATACTAATTTTCTGCTCGACATTGAAAACAGCGGCCATTAGCGGTTAATAAGCTTGGTGGGAGAGGTCCAAGAGGCAGCTATTTTGCAGGTATCTCTTTAACTCAAGGCACGTGTATTGTATCAGTTTAATAAAAGTTTTTGAAAACCGAAAAGCGCTATGCATTTATAGATCCTATATTAAAAACGTGAAGAGAGAGAATGTGTTATGACGTGTACAATATGCCTCATTACTAGTTCGCAGACTCTAAACATTAGTGCTCCTGCTTTTCCTCACAAGCACTTGGCACATGAAACATCTAATAACACTTATCAAGTTCACCCCACACTTTCAGATGAATCCGTGTCACGAAGAAAAACCCAGGTTGCCAGGTAAGTCGCACTCGGTGTTAAATGCTATGATGTACTTTATTTTGGACCTTAATATGAATGGCACATTCAGTGCTATGCCGAGTCACTCTAATGCTATGTTGGTACATATGAAACCATACGCTTGACGTGCGTGCTCTTGAGTCAGTCGAATTATTTCGCTCCATCTTCTTGCAGCGTAGTCATCGCATGCTCATACGAACCGGATTTAGAAGCTGTAAACAGGGTTTCGTCACACGCTGAGTTGTCCTTTACGATTAAAGTCCGCCCCATCCCCAACTACTTTAACTGTCATGCTTGATCTAAACACAGGCGGATAACCCACTCACTTTGAGTCGATTGCTTTTCTGTGTATCATCATTCGTTACGGAATTCTAGAGGCAGTCAGAAAAGCTATAGCTTATTCAAATCTGATGCTTCTTAGTGTAGCTGTGGAAGAATTTGTTATCTATCGATCTGTCTTCAGCATTGCTTCCAGATGCATTTACCATGTCCAAAGCTAGTTGGGCCTATCATCGATCGAGCAACCGACCAACACTGAAACGTGTACCACTGGTACCACTGGTTACATGAAGTGCGCCATAACACGCTAACCCGCGTTTATCTTCGACGCGCGAAACTGTACTGGTCATCCGGCAAACGCGTGAAATTAAAACGGCATGCTCTCTGATAACACGTTTCACATTATGTGTTAAAATGGTTATGTGTTAAAATGGTTAAGAATGGTCTAGTGTGCATCAGCTGCTCGAACTCAAATCACACTAGGTGTCTTGGAATGGGACCGATATGGACGACCTCGTGCAACAGCACGACAGACGTGGTTTGGTTTCTCGGTCTATAGGAGCCCAGAGAGGTCTGAAAGGGTCAATTGTAGGAAAAAGCCGACGGATGGGAGGTCGGCAGTTCCTCGTTCTTTCTGATTGGATAAGGATACCTCGTCTGAAAATTGATTCGGCCAAGGTGCGTCCCAATCTTTGTTTAGACCTACGTCAGAGTCAATTAAAGCAGCAGTCAAGTTATGCTTCTGTACATTCGTCGGTATGCTTGATGCTTCAGGTGCCTTAATATTTGAACTGTGCAAACCTTCTGTGACCTTTAACCGAATTTCTGAACTAAGACATTTTCGATTTCTCCGCCATCGATCCAAAACATCCGTTGCTTGTTGCGCTGACTGAACCACAGGTTTTAGGATTCTAGGGTCGCACCCTCCATAATTTGGTGACAGAAGTATCCTGGTGAGCTAGAGCGCCACAATATTATCTAAAGAAAGTTTTACACGAATAAACCGCCACTGTGCCAAATCATGTTTCTCGGTCACTTGAACATCGTTAGAAGGATGCGCTGGCGCGCCGTGTATGCAGATTGTGTTTAAGCGGTCTCGCTTGCTGTGTCCCTCTTCGGTGTTTCTTGTTGATTGTCACGCGCTCCAAGGGACATCAGGACAGATACGTATCGCGCATGATCCGTGTTTTAGCGCACTAGCGGAAAGAAAAACATTTTCCTCGTCGGTGAAGGATTTTAGTGTTATTTTAATAAGTCTTGATTCTCCCTAATCTGGTAAGTTCGCATGACGATTAATTCGTGATAGGTTTATGAGCTTGACTTTGACACTCATCAGCACGCACAGTGAGTTCCATTGGCTTTGGTCGTCCGATAGCTTATCCTGCAATCTGATGGCGGTAGATTCGGAGATATCTGAGTAT